CTTTAGATTTAGCTTAGCTATAGCTGCGGCTGACGTGGCCGTGGCATTGGTTCCGCTTCCACCAACATCTTATTATAGTCTCTGGGGAGATAAGGGATCCGCCTTGGATGAGCAGACAATTATCGACTTTGGCTGACGTTGTCACCTCACCTCCACCAAACAGCACCACACAAGAGCGACAAAAAGTGCAAAAGCTTAATTAAACAACTGGAGAGAAACGCTGGAATAAACAATCCGCCATGTTGTTGGCCCCCAAAGATGTCAGTCTAGCATATCTTGTATCTGGCGGTTAAGGGCCGAACCTAGGGAACTTTTTGTATCTCTGATTCACGTTTATCTCTCAAGTGCTTTTCACACTTGCTAGATAACAATGGGTTTTCGATTTTTTTTGTTTATCATCTGGAGAACATAAATCTTTATTAAAGATTTTTGGGCACATTCGGACTAGACTATGTAAGGGCCAAGTCTATAAAATATAATACTACTATACTATTATAAAATAAGTAGTCTATATGTGTACTTAATGACATGTAAACCAACGTTTTCCCTTGGGCTTAAGCTCAAAACAGAACAAATTATTTGTTCTTAACTTAGATGTTTTTCTTGTCAACAAAATGTCAAAATGACAAATTGCTTAAGCGATATGAGAGTAAAAACTTTACATTTAGTTTTAAAAACTTCTATCATTGCAAAATCTATTCAGCCTTTAAATATCATACCACGATTTCGTTAATATATTCTATTTTTGTGCAATTTTCTCAAACCTTGAGAAAATTTTTAACTTCAAAATATTGTATCTTGAAGTTGAATATTGTCGATACTTGTTTTTAGAACTTAAGAAACATTTACTTTATCTGTAAAATTAAAATAATCCTGTAAAACACTATACATCATGCAAATGTACCTTTTGGGATCTTTAAAATATGCAAGTTTCTCAGGGGTACTTCTAAAACTGAATTTCCCACAATAAGCTATTTTGTAGCTACTTTTCTTCGCCGAATGATCTGTTGCTCGCGCTGGGCATCACTGACGGCGCAACACCGTTAGGCACGCGCAGAGGAAAAAGAGTTGAATGAACTTTCCAATGCGTGGCCGTTGCGCCGCCGTGGAAAAAGGGACCGAAACCAGATTTGTAGTGAGAATTAGAACCAAAAATCCGAGGCGGAATAGAAAGCAAATGGCGAATAAAAAGTGGTTTGATTCGGCTAACCTAGATTCCTAGTGGGAGAAAGAAAGAAGAGTGGCCTGACGGCTTTTTGTTGCCTTTTGTTTCCATCGGAGAACCTCATTTTGAGATTGTTGAAGCGGATGTGATATGTGGCCACGCCCCAGCCTCAAAGTTAGAACAATAACTAGAAATGCCGATAGACGCGAAGCATATGGAGAATCTAGTGTTTGCTGCGCACAAGTTTGTTTCCTTTGGCTTTTGCCATTTGGAATTTAAAATTTATAGCAGGTTTATGGCAGCAACAATAACAAAAAGCGCAGCAGCCAACTGCTCTCTCGCTTGCACGCACAGGTGAGTGAAAGAGATGACAGTTTCGTGCGGGAGCGGAGAGCGCGCTCTCTACCCTTTCCACCGACTAGATGACGCGAGAGATAAAAACTGTTAGACAAACGATAAATGGCAGGAAAATCAACTAAACAAATTTTCCAGGCGCAGACTGGAAGTGGTCTTCCAACTGGATGAGCAATCACCAAGGATTTGCATCGCAACATGACTTTCCACATTTCCAGTCAACAACAACTGCCACGCAGACAGATTTTCTCTGACGCCTGGAAAGACCACGTAGCCGCTGGGCCGTATGATTCAGCGAGTGCGAGCGAGAGGGCGCTAGCGGCCGGCGCATTTCGCGTTTTTACACTGGATTTTCGCGACTTTTAACTGAGTCTTCTTTGCGAAATTTGCGTAATTCTCGGGTACTTACAGAACTCGACCAGCACGAACTCGTTGTCGGCAATCAGTTGCTTGAAGTTATCGACGGTCGCCACCAGGACGCCCTCCTCAACTTTGACCTCCGCCTCGGCGGAAGCGGCCACGTAGGACGCCGCCAGGAAAAGTGCACAGATCAGGAACTTCATCGCGGGCACTTCGTCGTCGTTTCGATTGATTATAACTGAATCTAATTGCCCTGCGTGGGTGCAGCACTCTCGCCAACCAAAACTGGAATTCGAACTGCTGAACTTGCCCGGTTGCAAGTAAAATCCAAATGAATCAGTCTCGACAAGTCGGGGGATATATAATCTTATATATGTATTGGCGATGTGAGATATATTAAAATATCGATATATCGATATTTTGAAAAAAATAAATATTTATATCGTTTAACTAAAAACGAGAAAGACCTTATTTTCATTTTCTACACATCGCAACGGTTGGCGGATGGTCACACCAGCTTAATTCAAATTTGATCTCCCTCTCCTTTCTATAATGTTAGAAAACGTTGTATCTTAACATTTCTGTCAATGGATCTTTGGTAATGAAGTGGAAAAATATTAAGGTATCTTTAAATCGACGATACCGTCGACTTTGGTTTCAAATACCCTGTACTTTGAAAGACCGTTTGATTTACGAAAATGTTCTTAAAAGAGTTAGCCAGCAATACTTTATACTTTATCTATTACTTTTACGCCTTATTTTACTAATTTTACTACGCCTTATATTTAATACAGATCTTTTTATGATCTATTTATGAAAAAATAACTGCAATCCAGCATAATCGAATTTCAAGTTTAGGAGTAATTTTTTTACATTATTTTCTAACTAATTATTTATGATTATTTACACAGTCTTTAAGCCAAATAACTGATTACCCATGGACCCCTAGGAAATTGTTCATTTTTTTACTTCTTATTTGTTTTGCTTGCTTACAAATTTAAGAACGTAAAACTAAGATAAATAAACCTATTCTCAAATTTTTCGGACAATTTTTTAAACCAACCTTCAAATTTAAGAGGCGTTTTTATTTTCGCAAGTTTTACTAAAATTTGTACGTCCTAGATGGTATTATCATTTGATATTTTAAAAACTATACCACTTAGATTTAATTTTGGGATACCATGTTTCGCCTACAGTTAAAATTGTACGCTATTAAATATTTGTTGACAACAAGTTTTTGCTAAGGCAGAAGGATTTGCTATTATTTCTCTAGGTTTTAGCTATAAACTTGTATCGATTTTTCTAGAATTATTTGTGTAAGAATGATCTGTAGTATTAGTCATACTTATGAAATCAAGTTAACACGTGAGTAAACATTTCAAGTTACATTATTCGTTCTAATGACCTAACTACTTTTATCACCTTTTTTTTAATTTTAATTGTTTTTAAAATATTTATGTTATTGTCATGCAGTTCGTGTCATCAACCTTTAAAAATGAACGTACATCAGGGATGTGTCAACATGAAACAATTAAATATTTGTTATTGCAGTTGGATTGTTTTCCTGTTTCTTTTGTAAAAAAACTGTAGGTGTTTATGATCATTTGTAAGATATAAATAAAACTCATTTATTAAACAACTTAAACAGACAGACATTGGAAGAATACAATTAAATGCACATTGTAAATACGGAATTCAAGAGTCACATGCGACCACCTGTTGAATACATTGTTCGACTATTCGGAAAACAATATCGGCAGTTTTCTCACTGCTAAATGGCTTATCTATGGGCGGTACATGAACGAACAGACTACGTTTTTTGTCCATATCCAGGGATTTAAGATAGATATAGCCGCATAGAAAGTCGCCAACATTTTTGGAGGCCTTCGTAGCGCTTAGATGCCTGATATTATCATTATGAGGGGGCTCTGTGGGTGCCACACAATCGGCGCATTTTTCGTTTACGGTCGCCACAATCTTATCCACATCGAGCTCGGTCTTCAAAACATTTGCATGTCCATTGTTCGGGAGTTCGCAGCTGCCGTTGGGTAATCTTTTATCACAATTATCAGCTCTTCGGAACTTGTGGTTATATGCCAGCTTCTCAATGTAGACACATTTTGCGACACCCGAAACGCCGACATGAATGACCAGCTGGTTTAGGAGGGGAAAAGTGATATCATCTTGCTCTCTACCTATTTACGGTTCAATTGAATACGTATTCTTACATCTGGCTGGCGCTTCCATATCTCCGTCACGGCCTCGTCCACAGCCCCATATTCCACCGCAACCAAACGCTTTTCAAGATCATATTCTATGTCATTGTGGGTGAGGACTTCCGGAAGTAGTTTAACAGCTTCCCAGCTGGCATTCACGGCTTCATGGCCGAGAAATGGCCCGAATCCCGAGACCACAATTAGCTTTCGTTCCGACGACGCCATAACAAACACTCCAACTAAACCACCCACCCCCAACAAACTATATTATATACCATATGTTTGTCGTCTTCTTCTTCAGCTTTTAAATTTTGCGTTCCCACTTAGTCGCATCTATTGCTTTTTAAAATTAGAAAGTATTTCCGTTAAATAAAAACTTTTAAATTTCTATAAATAGTCTAAAATGAAGTCGGTTACTTGCACTATCTACAAATATTTTAAATAATAAAAAACGTTAAATGGTTGAAATGAATAATAACATTACTTCCAACAAAATATTAATTAAAATAATTTGATTAAACAAATTTGGTAATTTCAAAAGCAAACCTATTTAAATATTTTATTATATTTTTAAATTCAGTAACGGTGGTTATAAAAGTTTAATTTTATAAAGGAAGTAGAAGTATACAAATTGGGTGATTTTTAGTAGAGATTTATCTATAAACTTCTCGCAAATCAAATAAATGGTTAGAATATTTAAAATTAAGCTTTTATAGAAATAAAATATTATTAAATAAGTAACATTATTTTATTATTATTATTCCAATATGGGTGATAAAAATGTGAAAATAATAGGAATAGTAGTAAGCAGATAACCCGTTACGAAGTAGTCGGAGTAAATATACCAAGCGAAATGGTATTTTTTGGTATTTGGATCACCTGAGCCAATCGCTTTTTTGGGATTTTTCTTGAAACATATCTGACGACGCAGTATGCGGCTCCAAACAGAGCAATAACACTTTGGGACAACAAAAAAGATAATCCACTCCATACATTCCAAAGATCCGCGCAGATGCAAGCGAACGACCCACCATCGATCCGATAAAGCAGCGAACCAGATCCGGGCATAGCCAATTTAAAGGTGAGTGTTACCTGGTGGTAATCTAATCGCAGCGGATAACTTGAGGGGGCTCCCCTGCTGGCAGCGACGCCGGCAGAGCGCCACCCTACGCACACAGGTGAACTTTGCACATTAACTATTAATTAACCTCGAACAGGTCGCCGGTGGAGCGGGAAAAGTGGTTAGCAGTTGGCCCATTTCACACAGGAACGGAACGAGCCCGAGTCCAGTCCAGTCTAGACCATCCCGCAGAAGAGAGTCGTTTTCCAATCGTTAACATGCTGTCGCGCCTGCAGGACTTCTTGTCACGCCACCGGCGGAAATTCATAGTGACCGGCGTTCTGGTGGGCGGTACCATCTACGCGGCACGTTACGCCCAGCGGCGTTTCGTGGAGTTCCAGGAGAAGCAAGCAAGAGAGTTCTTCGAGAGGACGCGGCGAATGACCCACTTCGAGTCCACGGAGAAGACCTGCAACCAGGTGATCCTCGGTATGGGCGAGGAGATGTGCCAGGCGGTCCTCAGGGAGTGCAGCACGGACGAGCTGCTCGAGCAGCTGCGCCAGAATCCCAAGAACAAGCTGGAACTCTGGGAGGACATGAAGATCGTGGCCTTCACAAGACTGGCCACATACGTCTACGCCTCCTCCATGCTGGTTATTGCACTGAGAGTACAGCTGAACCTCCTCGGTGGCTATATCTACCGAGACATCATGACGGAGCAGAAACAAATCACAGACGAACTGAAGCAGCAGTATCTCTCGCTCATCCGACACTTCATCACGGATTCCGGAATTCGGGACCTGGCGCGATATATTCGCACCCAGGTCATTGCCGTCATAAAGGCCATGCCGCTGACTCAGCAGCTGTCCCTCAATGACTTGGAGCAGCTCTTTTGGTCCCTGCAAATGGCCATCAACGCGGACACTCGTCGAGACCCCAACTCCCGGATGAGCAAGTACTTGCTGCCCAGCCAGAATCCCAGCCATTCGCCGCTGCTTCAAAAGATGTTCAACGAGACGCTGGATCTGCTGGAGAGCGAGGATGCCATTGGTGTGTGCTCGCACAATGTGAGCCGGGGGTTCGTCCTGGCCTGCGATGCTATAGCAGAATCCATGGGGGAGACACTACAGCACCTGCCGGCAGCTGAAGTGCAAACTCAACAGGAGCAGTCCCTCAAGTTCAACCAGGCAGGAACCTCAAGCGGGAGCAGTTCGAAGAGCCAAAATTTGGAGAACAACAACTTGCTGAACATCAACCGGGTGCTGATGGCGCTGGCCAAACTCATTCCAATCATCAGTGGCCTCACCTCAAGGGGTTTCGACAGCACTTCGCGACCCCACAACCTGCCCACCCAGCTGCTCACATTTTACGTGGTCGCCGAGAAGACAAAGACGCTGGGGGCCAACGTCTACGAAAGCTTCAGCTCCGCTTAGGAGATCGACAAAACTTGGATTATGCACCCGTGCATAGGCTAGGCTAAGTCATTTGGAAGATTATAGTTTATATACTTGTATATTTTAAATACGATCATAATTCTCCGAAGCGTTGTTTGTATGTCTGCTTGAACCCAACCCGTATTAAGTTTAGCTCCTAAGAATATTTAATCGAAAGCGAGTGTAAGGTATGCTTAAGCAGATTCCCCTATTGAGTCCACGGGGAGTCCTTCAAGACAGGGACACAAATCGAGTAACGTGAAGGCCTTTTAAAATAACTGGAGAGTGTAATATGTGCTTAGGATAAACAAAAAATGAGATGTGGTTTTCATAAAAACGACCTGAGGGTTACTGGTACCGAAAATAAATTGAAGAATAAATTAATTGTGTAATTCTGAAACCTTTATTAAAAAATCTATCCAAGTGAAGAAAAATTAGCGTAAGTAAATTTCTATATTTTGGAATCTCTTAGAATTTTTCATAATTGGCAACTAAATAAATTATTCATTTCTTTTTTAAATTTACCTTGATTTTGTATATTTTAATAAACTCGGGGTACTTGCATACATAGGCCAGTAAAGAAAATTCGATTTGGTGTTTTAAAATTTAAACTAAGCAACAGTACATTTTAATTGCAGAACTACACTGGATTGGTGATCTTTTTTCACTGTCCATTTTTAGACACCTTTATTTGATATCTACATTATTGCTTCCCTACCAAACTAATAATTCAAATATATTTCGCAGTGAAAAGGTATTTCCTACTTTATACGTTGCCAGTGCACAGTGGGCCAGAAAGTTAATTTTTTGTCCAATTATTTTAGCAACAAGCTTTAATTTGAAAATTGTATTTTATTTTTAAAAATTATGGTAATTTTTACACGACGTGCAAAGGTAACTTAAAACAGCGATGACCGAAAACTTAGCAAAACCGCTCCGAGTCGGGTATTAGCGATTTTAGAAAATATTTCGAAGAAATTATTTAATTGAGGAATGGAACCCGAATTGCAAAATACTCAAAAATCACAGAAAGCTGAATATTTCCAGCTTTGACGTCCTTTTTCTCAGAATGCTTGTGTGGGGAAGCGTTTTTGAAAATTACGGATGAAAATCCACGAGATTAAATTAGAAATTGTAGTTACAATTTAACTTTCTTACCTTTTCTCTAAGAAAAAGTCAACTTTTTTACCTAAACACTTACAAAAAATGTTTTTGTTTTTCTTAGTGATGTCGATAAAAACAACCAAACTTTAATTTGTGCCTTAGCTATTAGTATTTTTGTGAATTTCCATAAGTTACTTTTTATTAACTGGTTAAAATGTACGTGTTCTAGTATAAGGTAGAGCATACCTGCTATACAAATTTCAAATGAATCTAAATGATAAGAAAATGCATATATGTAGGTGCAAATAAAATATGGGGATCGCCCGGAAAAATGTTTAGTTGTGCAAACGAATTGAAGCGGCTCGGAAAAAAGCTGTGTTGTTATTAATAGATAAATGGTGAATTAATAAATTTAATTTGTTCGAATTGGTAATCACAAAAAACAAAAAAATAAAGTAATTAAGAAAATAAAGAAATAATTTAAGGAAATTGAAATTTGATGCGTATTAGCGAAGACACAAACCCTTAATAACGGTTGTCTTTGCTATCAGTGAAAGGGGGTGGTAAAAACCGCCCTGTGATAAGACAGCTGTGGCTTTTGTTTGTTTGCCATTTCTCTTGTTCTTGCCGCTCTCTTTCTCTTTTTGCAGTTGCGCAGAAATGCCGCCAAAGAAGAGGAATTAAAATATGAATAATATGGATGTATATAAGGCCTTCAGAAACGTTTGTACAATCGAAAACATGAGCAAAATTGCAAGTTTAAACTTGATTAAAGATATTAAAAAGGTGAATGCATATCTATACCTCCCTCTTTCTCCGGCTCGCAGGACCTCTCTTCCGCTCTCTTCGCTCTCTCACTCCTGTGGGTGCCCAGCTGTCTGCTAAAAAGAACACATTTACATTTTCAGTTTTGGGCGCAGTTGCAAAAGTTACGTGAAAAGGCAAAGGACAACCGTTACTTTTATACCTCCCTGCGAGTCTGTTTGTGTGTCTGTGTGCGGAGAAAGCATTAAGTTAACAAGCAAAAGAAAACCATTTAATAACCCCAAACTAAGCCAGTTTTAAGCTTAGTGTGCAAATATGAAAAAGACTGCGAAAGGTTCACAAATTAGCTTAGCCAGCAAAAGAAGAAAAGTCTAAGGATACACCACAAAAAAACAAACATAAAATACATCAACAACAACAACAACGGCGGCTCAATTGTGTAAGTGCACTTGCAAAATGTTTATTGACCAGTCGAGAGGGCTAAAAGCCCACTTAACCCATCAGCAAACCACAAACTTTATTGATTAAGAAAAAAATATGAAAATCAAAGAGACATGTGAGGGAAAAAGACAGACGCAACGGTATATTGGTAACGGGACACAGACAGTGCGTGCGTAAAGTGGGGTGGTATGGGATGGTAAAGTGGGAGGGAAATAACGGGAACGGGAGTGGGAGTGGGGAATACCCCTCATATATGGGCTAAAAATATGGACACTTTATTATTAGAAAGGCCACAAGTGAACCACTAACCAACTAGTTGCGAAGTCACAATCAACAAATCCTCAAGGAAAAGTCCTTCGAAGAGAACCGAACACATAACAATAAAAAACTGTATAGTTTTCGGAAACCGAAGATGGGAACACCCTTGAGAAAGTCACCATTAATAAAGATTCCTTCTTAAAGATAATTAGCAAGATTTAGTAAATGGTCATCATTACAATGTAATACTTTTTAGATGAAAACGAATGAGTAGTTTCTTGGCATAGTATACAAAATATGTTACAGCCTTGTGGTATTTAATCCTATGTTCAGCATGATAAAAAAAATAAAATGGACTGATAATATCAAGTATAAAACCATGTTATTTAAGGATACAAAATAACAGATGGTAACACCTACAATACCCTTCTTGAAAGTGTATAAACTTGTAGCCAAGAAAGTCAAGTGCGACAGCGTGAAGACAACAAAGAAATGACATTTTCCCCAGCCAACGTCCGTGTGGGACATTCAAGGAAAACAATGCATGCAAGTCAGGCAACCCCTACGTCCCCAGCTCTTCCATAAGTTTCCCCTCAGAATACTTGAGCCCCTATATTGCATAGTATATGTATATAGGCATATTGACATACTAAAGGCGTAGATCAAGTGCCTTGACAAGAGGCCACAGCACCTAACTAAATATAAACACGTTAATTAAGGAAGCGAAAGCAGGACACGATTCGAGTGGTAGAAAAGCGTGTCATGGAATTTCCGGGAAAGAAATTACCAAGGATTTATTAGAAAACTTCTAAGATCCAGGTGGATTGGATACCTACAAGCCAGGAACTTTATTTTTAAGATTTTTAACTTATAGCTTTAACGTGGTTATTACATCAATTTAAAGAAATATTTTACAAAAGATTGATTTTCAAAATCATGTACAAAATATTAATCAAAAATAAAAAAACCAACCTAATTTTGTCATAATAGAATCCGAAAAAAACAAATCACAATATTTTATATGTTCTCAGAATACCAATTTATTCTCTTTATTCTATAGCATAAAATTTTCGGAAATCACTAAGTCTACAATACAAATATCAATTTAACAGGAATTAGGAATTATCTGTATTTCCTTGAACTTTTCAGGTCCTATCACTGCAGAGCAGTGAAAGTGCTTTATGCTATCTGACTCATTCATAGAATACATATACATTTCTAATGAACCCCACTGATAAGAAACCTTATTCAGAATTTGTAAGTTATTGCTTATTAAAGAAGAATATTAAATGCACAGAAAACCGGGGGAAAAGTGCAGTTTTGCGAGAGCATTTGAAGCAGAAACACAAACAAATTAAAGGTGTCGTGAAAGTAAATGTGCTGAAATAATAATACCTGTAAAGATTTGTCAAACCGGAAACCGTGCCATAATCGATAGATTGTATTGAAAGGTGAATAAATAAACACGTGTCATGTGCTTCTTAGACCCCTGTAAGGAATAACAGGTAGAGCTTTAGTTCCATAGTCTATTAAGGTCTTTGCATGTGGTTTTGTTTGTTCACGCCACTTTCCCGTTCCTATCCCTGTATCCCCCATCGGAGTCCTACATTTGCAACATGAATGAACGACTCCAACTACATTTTTCATGCAAGCCGAGGGATCCGCTCTGGTTATCCCCACTCTTTACTGGATTCTCCTTTCTTCTGCTGTTTGCTTGTCAAAAACGTCAAAAATGCGATAGTGAAGACCCCAATGAGGAACAGGGTGGCCTGAAGGCTACACTGAAAGAAAAAGCTATACCAAAAGTAATATTCTTTTAGGATATTTGTGTAACTACTCATTATAAGGTACCAAAGTTCAAGTCCTATTACAAATGATTTTATTACTCGAACTTTCTTTACTTTCCAATGAACAATCTAACTTGTATGTCAATCTAAAACAGAATTCTAAAGTTTTATAGCGCTCAAAGTATTTTACATTCATTTTGAGATATAAATGTAAGATAATTTTTTCCTAAATATTGTAAGTTAGTTGTAGCTCTTCGAGTGTGGAATAGTTGCGAAGTAGAGCGGGCAACTTAAGTGGCCCCCGGCCACAACTTGCACCACCTTGTTTGCATGGCTACCAAAGTAGTGCGGAACCCCAGAGCTCAGACCCTAAGTGCTGTTGCAACCGCCGGCGGGATGAGTCACACAGACACATTGGAACAGTGCCATAAATGACATGTGATAGATGGATGGACACTTGGTGAGGGCTTTGGGGGATTAGCCAGGAATGTGGCCCAAATGAAGCTGCACCCGCCTGCTGCCGTCTCCTGTAATTAGGGCCCCTCGGGACAGGTCCACAAGAGCCGTTGATAGTAGCCAGCTCTGAGAGGAGGCAACCCACACCCGCCTCCTCCTACTTTTCCAACCACTTTGCTCGCTTCTCTGGGCCCTCGGTTCTTTTATTACGTATACGCCCCGCTGGTTGATGTGGAACAGCTCTTGAGGCGAGACAGCCATCTGCCTCAATATTTGGTCTGGGCAAATACGGATTGTCCGATTTCGAATATTTTTATTGACTGAACGTAAGAGACTCTCGCCTCTCCCACGTGTGGTTAAATTCATATACATTTTGACGGAGCTGGGACAATATTAACGAATCGGAACTAATATCTTTCGTTCAACCGTGACTTACGAGAGAAAACTAAAAAGTTATACCGATCATCATAAAATCGATCGCTGCTAAGTGCTAAAATAAGCCAACTCACTACAGATCAGGTAGTTTTATCATATCTTCTACAAGAATTTGCACAAAATATTAAACGCATTGGGATTAGGAAGTGTAAGAAAACGAAAGCAACACATTTTTAAAGTTTAGAAGACGTGTCATTGCAAAATGCAAGATAAGGGAAGTTTCAAATATGTAGGTTCACGAGAACAGTATAAAAATTTTATTTCATATTTGTATATGGTGATAAGAAAAATTTCTTTGAGCATTAGGCAAACGGAGATTATCTATAGCATATATATGTGTGTTTCAAAATGAAAACAATGTTTGTTGATTTTTGTATTTATTGTTATATTTTATTTATAATTATATTTATTTTAAATTTCAATTCACAAATCTTTATTTTCTATAATCTAAACCATTTATTTTGTTAATATATTACAAGTATAAAATGCATCAAATAGTTTTGTTCTCATTCACTTTAAAGCTGATAAAAATGGTGTTACTAAAATCCCCAGAGACTGCTTTATACCACAATGTTAGATTAAGAAACCCGGCAGTGAGCAATGTACATACCGCCCCTGCGATCGTTGAAACGAAACATTTTCAATATTGAGCTCAGTTCTCGCAGAGAGTCCAAGCGATCAACACGATTTTAGTAGAGTATTGTATCAAAATACACTGTCGAGTCGGCCGAAAAATTAACACGGGTAATTAGTGCTGGAAATTTGGGGCTTCGGCAGAGATGAAGTACGACGGGAATCGAATATTTGGCTTTATAATTTATTATTTATCATGTTTATGTATCTATCTCGCACAGCACAATGAATAACGCCAGCTGAAGAAGACGTAATCGGTTCATTGGCCCCCGAAACCCGTAGTCTAGAGCCCCATCGCTGAGGACTGGGAGCGGTCACCATGCGACGTCCGAAAATATCCCTCAAGAAGTACTTCTATTTCACACTGATCTGCGCCCTCCTCCTCATTTTCGTTTTCAATCTCAAGTGAGTAAGATAACATGTCGGTAAAGGTAAATAGTACCACTCAAATATTGATCTTCGGGTGCCAAAGAGCTACAATAGGGAACACAGCGCCATCAGGTTGTGGAAAATTTAATTTATTTAAAAAAATAAACATACATAGCCCAGTTCGATTTAATTTAAACATTTTAGTTGGATTCTCTAGTGCTGACGTATGGATTGCTCCTCGCGCAAAAAAACTATTTCATCTGAATTCACAGGGCTTTTTTATAAACATTATTCCATAATATATATATTTATTCAAAAAATTTTCAAAGAGACTCTGTCAGTATTTCTTAGTTCGTTGGAACGGTTTTTAAAACACATATATAAAGTTAATGGAAATAAACTTTAAAACCAAAAGCAAATTTATAACAAAGTGGAATTAATATTGATTAGCAGATTTAATTATTGATTTAGCAAAATGTGGAATAAAAATAGAATTGAATATAAAATAAAGTTCTATCAAGCGGTACCCAGGAATCTGTACTTAATTAATGCTCAGACTTTCATGGAATTTGTTTTCCAATTAAAAACGATACAATTTTGCTGTAACTAATTAATTTTCTTAAAAAACCCCACAGGGAGAGCGAATTATGGAAGACGCGGAGTTCCCGATCGTCACAAATAACCACACAGCAGCAGCACCATCAGCATCTGCACCAACTGCAGTCCATGGACGAGGAGCATCCAGTGGCCACCAGTTCCACGCCGGCGCCAGTTGCACCCACTGTGCTCCCCGAAGTGGCGGATAATCTCGTCGAGGAGCCGGAACAGGCGGTTCTGGAGGAGGAGGAGACGGAGGCGGATCGGCAGCAAGAGCCGCCGGTGGAGAAGGCCTGGTTCTTCAAGAACGGAGAGTACTACCCAAAGCCAGCCAGGACCTACAGCAATCGCAAGGCCAGGAAGCGCCATGCCCCGCGTCTGCTGCCCCACCAGGATCCCTATTCCGATCGGATCGTTAACCAGCTGATGTACGTGCCGCATAACTACGAGGAGATCAAGTCCAGCGGCAAGCTGAAGACCATCCTCCTCTACAATGGACTGGGTCCGTGGAACGTGAAGAAGGGCCGCGACGTCTTCCTGAAAGCCAAGTGTCCCGTGGACACCTGCGAACTGACTGCCAATCGCGATCTGGCCAGCTCGGCCGACATGATCCTCTACAAGGACCACTACATCCCCACGGGCATCCGGCGGCCCAACAATTCCAAGCAGGTCTCCATGCTCTACTACCTGGAGTGTCCGTATCATACCCAGAACGTGAAGGTGCCCGATGCCATCAATTGGACGGCCACCTACAGGTGGGTTCTATACTTAAATTTTTGCATCTTAATAAATATATAAACTTATTTTAAAATTCGTTGTTTAAAAGCTAAATACCAGCTTTTGATTTCATGCACTCTGATTTTCAATATATTATAATATTTCTGCGAAGCTTATATTCCGCGAAATATAATTTTAAATCTTAAGTAGGGGTATTTAGGTTATCGCAGCTTGGTGAATCATATGACTCATAGTTTTATTTATTGGGAGTAATTAATAATCTGTTTTGTTTTTTGCAGACGGGACAGTACTATTGTTGCGCCCTATGAAAAATGGCAGTACTACGATACAAAGGTGCAGCAGCAGGAGCAGGATATCAACTACTCCGTCAATAAGACCAAGAAAGTGGCTTGGTTTGTGTCCAACTGTGGAGCGAGGAATGGCCGGCTTCAGTACGCCCATGAACTGCAAAAGCACATCGAGGTAAGCATGAATAGTTACTGTATTTAAAGTCACTGTAGATCAGGGACATTTAATTGAGGCATTAATTTTGTAAGTTAACAATATTGAACAACAATATAATTTATAAAAGTTTTCGAGCATTTAAACCATTTTTGACCAAATGTATGGCAGATAAACACATAGAATTCAAATGTTGGGTCACTTTAAGTACCACTATTAAACCCAATTCAATATTGGAACACATTTTTGATTTATTTCCGATTTTCGTTTATTTTTCTAGATTTCTATGTAAATCTTTTTTTATGTTGGCCATCGGTATACCCCTTTTTAATGTTTTTTCTTTTATAATAATAAGATATTAACTGTATGTTTTTCAAAAAAGATATTTTACATCCTTTATCTAACACATTGATACAAAGTAAAATTGAAAATATGATTAAAGAACCTCGAACTTATAAACTAATGTTCTATCGTAGTTTTTAAGATATATTATTTCATTTACTAAACTCCAATAATTTTCCTAACAGGTTGACATCTATGGGGCTTGTGGCAACTTCAAGTGCTCGCGGAGCACGGCGGACAAGTGTTTTGAGATCCTGGACAACGACTACAAGTTCTACCTGGCGTTTGAGAACTCCAACTGCAAGGACTACATCACAGAGAAGTTCTTCGTAAATGCGTTGAACAGAAGGGTTCTGCCCATCGTGATGGGGGCCCGGCCGGAGGATTACGAGGTGAGTGCCCCACGGAGGTCGTACATCCACGTAGACGAGTTCGCCTCGCCCAAGGAGCTGGCGGAGTATCTGCGCATCCTGGATCGCGACGACGAGCTGTACAACTCGTACTTCAAGTGGAAGGGCACCGGGGAGTTCATCAACACGTACTACTGGTGCCGGGTGTGCGCCACGCTCCACAACGAGGAGCAGCTGAGGAAACCCCGGTGGTACACGGATCTCAACGACTGGTGGCGGGGACCCGGAGTCTGCACGACGAGATCCTGGCGGAACTTCAAGGCGCGCAAGGATGTTATCAGCGACTCCAGCGATGACTGAGTCCAAGTCCTCGATGCGATCCAGATCGTGGGCATGGGCTTTCCGTAGATCACAAGTCATCATCATCAGTGAGTCCCTCGTTTTTGAATTGCTGTTTCGCAGGTATCACCATCTCTACTTTCACTATCACTATCCACCGGATGGGTCTATTTTATTTCGAGAAAAAATGTGCGATATAAGGTCTTTAAATAATTGCCCTCTTCATTTTAGATTCGAAAAAATGCCAAATCAAAAAGAATTCTCATAAGCTCTCTTAAAAATATTCCTTGTCGTCAAGAATAGTGTATTTATATAGTAGTTTTGGGATCAAAGAATCTCTGGATTATTTTTCAGAATCCCATTATATGTCAGTGAATTCTAGTGAATGTTTGATATTATCAAACTTTTAATCAAACATAATTTCAAGACCTTAAGTCGCACACAAAATTGTCTTTAATCAAAAAAATTGACCCATCCTTTGCTAATCCATGTGTAAATGGTCGCTTCGTTTTTGTCGGAGTTTTACGTAAATGTTTTTTGTAGTTAGTTAGTAAGTAAACCGATCCTCGGAGCTGGTCACGCCCTGGAAAATCGAATAAGACCGAGGAGGCACGAGGTGAGGAATGTTCAAGCACTATCCCATAGATCCCGTGCCGATCGTTGTAACATATACAATACCAGATGCATAAGAGAATGTAGACACCTAGCATAGTTATATATGGATATACAAATGATATGTATACATAGTTCGGTAATTTATATAGTTGTTTAAACCAAAAGCAAGTCCAAAATAGACCATAATAAGGTAAAGAGAGGCAAGCCAGTTAAAGTAGTTTCGCATTATCAAGCTTAACTACGATGAGAAGAGGCATCAGCTAAATAGCTTAGATCTTTTGTAAGTGTTTTTGTAAGCAACCAGCAACTGATGGCTCGATCTGAAATGTGTTGCCTGTTAATCGAGCACATTTTATTTCCCCTTTTGATTTACGGTCTTAGATCTTGTCTAGAATGGCTTTTAGTTTAAATGTTAGCTGTAGAGAGCTACTTGAAAAGGTTTCCCAGCCTGTTGACTAACTACTTACTCTATAACCGATTCGCACAAGCTAACATATATATCTGATCTAATACAAATACAATCTGCATTCCTATTTTCACAAAATAACATATGACGTATTATTTCATTTCGAACAGCGCATATGTGTGTTTTTATAAATTTTAGCAATATTTGTATTTATTGAGTAACATTTAATTTATAAGTATTGAATAATATCATCTGTGTGTGTATTTTGATTGTGAACTTGTTTTAATTTTAATTTTTACTGTGATACAAAAAATAATAACATAATAATAAACAAGAATTAAACAGTGGCAACCAACGGCAACAATTTAAAATGTTTTCTGGGCTCCAGACGAAATTATAAATGCTTGATGAATCAACTAAGTGGTAAAGGGTTTTGGGGATGGCAAATGTTTTTAATTCAGAGAACTTAAGAAATATAAAAAAAACGAAATTCTTACATATTGAAATATTGAAAAATGCTTAAAAGCAACGTATACTATAAACTAGAGCAAAGCTGCCTCATAGCAAATAAGAACGTGTATATATTCATGTTCAAGCAATTTGAAGAAGTCTTCATAAATATTCAAAAGCCTCAATTGTGGAGATTCCGTACCCTAAACCTGGCACATTTTAAGCTGCTTTAGTAACTCTTGAAGAGCATTTAATTTCTTCTTCTTCGAATCTTCATTTCCTGCGGTGGCGGCTACGATCTTTGCCGTAATCTTGCGCTGCAGAGCAATGGCTTCGACTTTCTTGGAAAGCTAAAAATAAACAGAAACTTTAGCTGTTTTAAATTACAAAAGATAAAAAACAACCACCTCATAGGCCCGCTTTATAATTCCTTGAGGCATTCCAGCTAATTTGGCAGCATTAAATCCATACGATTTTGGACAAGCACCTGCAGAGTATTTGTATAGGAACGTAACCGTTTCTTGGGTGGGATCCGCAGTGTCCTCGTTCTCCACCATGCAGGCCATGTGCCCTAGGGTGATTCTCTTGTCGTTGTGGAAGAAATCAATCAGATTGTGGTAGTGGGTGGAGAATAGTGTGCGACACTTGAGATTGGCCAGGAAGTTAACCACGGAGGCTGCAATGGCCGTGCCATCGTAGGTGGCGGTTCCCCTGCCCAATTCGTCGAGCAACACAAGCGAATGGCAGGTGGCATGCTTGAGAATGAGGGAGGTTTCGTTCAGCTCCACGAGGAAGGTACTGTGCCCGGCAAGAATATCATCTTGAGCCCCCAATCGCGTGAAGATTCTGTCCACCAACGAGAGGCGGCAGCTAGCAGCAGGAATGTGGGCACCCTAAAAAAGGAACTAATTTTAGCAATTGGAAAATAAATAGTATTCCAATAATGCTTACAATTTGAGCCATGATAACCAGCAGCCCTAGTTCCCTCATCAGCGTGCTCTTGCCGCCCATATTGGGACCAGTGAGCAGGGACAGTGGCGCCTCCGAGTCTGTGCCCAACTCCAGGCCGTTGGGAATGAAGGTGGAGGCATTTACGCAAGGATGGTAGCCCTCTTCCAGTTGAACAAACGGCTGCTCTACTCCAGAGACCAGCTCTGGCACACAGATGACCATCTGTTGGCCAGCGTACTCCGCCAGGGAGCCCAGCACATCCAAGTTGGCCACACAGTCGATGCATTGCTTCCACTGATCGTAGTGATTGGAGAACTTCTCGAAAAGACGACGAGCCAAGTCCTTGAGCACCATGTTCCGGGTGTCTTCAGCGTGTTGCATTTCCTTGAGAAAAGCTCGGGTTTCAACAGTGGTGTAGCGGCGCGAGGGCTTCTTGCCCTTGGTTTGTCCCTCCAAGGTATAAGACTTATTCGCCTTATTGGCATGGGTTTCCGGCACATCCAACTGGTAACGCTTCTTGTCGCTTCCAAAATATGTAACACGACAACCAAAGTGGCGCTCTTGCTCCACGAGATATATCTTCAGGCGTCCCTCGATCTCGTTAATGGAATCCATTGCCGAATCGTATTCAGCATCCATTCCAGCTTGTGGAGCAATCACTCCCGTTTTGGCCGCAGCTTCATGATCAAAAGCAGTAGCAAAGTATTTTAGTTCCTTGCTAAGATCGGGAAATGAACCTCCAGATTCCGGCAGCTGGGTAATCCTCTTGAGCAAAGCTGTTTCGCACTGATGGAACATCATGGGCAGTTTGGTAAGTGTGTTGAACCCCTTCAGGACTGCCATGAATCCCAGTAGCTTCTGCTTGTTGTATATCTTTTCCTCGAAGAGAATGGCCCGGGAGTCCGGATGATCCATCTGCTTGATTTGCTTGTTGCCAAAGAGGTGAATCTGCGCCAGATTTCGCTCGAAATCCGGCATGGGGGCGAGCAAAGCACGAACCTCCTGCAGTTCGGCTGGCATCCTGATCAGTTCTCCAATAGCATCTTGTCGCTCCTTAATGACTGCCACATCGCAGCTCGGGGCACAGAGCCAGTGGTGCAGCAGTCGCTTTCCAAACTTTGTGCAGCAGTGATCTAAGGTGGAGAACAAGGAGTGATCCTCGCCAATAATCCTCAGATTCGACAAGGTAGTGGCATCCAGTACCATGTGGGAACGCCTCAAAGTAGAGGCCACAGTCGGCTTTACATCCGCCAGCTGATCGGGTGGCACATAGAGCTGATAACGTGCCATGGGCAGAACCTTGGGCTCTAACTTGCACTTGTGGATGAAGAAGATGCACTGGCCGAGAGCTTTAAGGGCGAGCTTGTAGTCGTCATGGGGTGTGAGGCCCAAATGATCCACATCCGACTGCATTGTGCGCAGAACCAATGGCCAGTTGTCATTGGAACCATTTCCTGCATAATAGCGCTCTGCCAACAGTTTAAGGGTTTTTTCTGCATTGCAGGCCTGCGATCCATTACTGGGAACCTGCTCCTTGAGGATTCCGCCCAGTACAGTGCGCACAATCTGCTGGGACCGCTGGCTCAATGCGGATTTCTCATTGAGGAGCTAAGGATTGGAAATAAATAAATAGATTTCAAGTGACAAACATGCAAAGTAGAGTTAATTACCAAAACTGGCATGTGATGGGAAAGCAGAGTGAGTAGGCGAGAGCAGTTCTTATCGTCCTCGAACTCGCCCAAGTGGAAGTCTCCTATGGAGGTGTCTATAAAGCACACACCGAACCGGCTCCAAGTACCCTCATCCTGCTCAACTAAAGCCAACATATAGTTGGGCTGATGGTTCGGTCCGATCTTGCACTGTGATCCGAAGACCTGGGTGCCACGATTGGTGATCTGGCAGATCTCGCGGGCCACCACTTTGTCAAACTTGGTAGCCTTGATGCGCTTGCAACGCTCGGTCATCATATCCGGGGTTTCCGTTTGCTCCACGCGGGCCACCTGGAGAATAATTGCTGGTAAAATATATTGGCAAAACAGTCTCCTTTGAACAACTCACCTTGAACCCCCTGTCTATGAGGATCGTAGACATTTTATCGAAGGATATCTCCGGGAAACCCGAGTGGGCAAACTCGCCGCGCATGTAGGTGAAGCCCAGCTCGTTGACGCCCACGTCCGCATCCATGTGATACAGTTCATAGAACTTGCCCACCTTGAAGAACAAGACACAATCGAAGTTGTCTTGTTTGAGGACCCACCACTGACGAACTCCCGGCGACAGACCATTGAGGAACTTCTCTGGCACATGCAGGGTGCTCTTATCGTAGTTCGGATGGTCGGGACGCCTTCCCGCCTTGTCCTTGATCTTGTCTGGCTGCAGAAACTCTAGTTTCTGGTGGGGCCACACGACGGGCTCATCCAAAGTGGAGGTGGTGGTCACTATATCATCGTACGATGCATCCTTCTTGGCATTGCTCTGCAGGTTCTTCAGTTTCTCCTGGAAGGTGGAACCCTCGGCCAGCTGGATAGTGGTCTCCAACTTGATCTTCTTGCTCGAGGGTTCATTGTTGTTGTTAAGGGTCTTGGACTTTTTGCGAGATTTCTTGGGTGAGGGGGTGTCCACGGACACGTCGTGTTCGCTGAACGACACCTCCTCCTCGCCGCTGCTGACGCTATCATCGCTGGCCTCGTTGGCGTCCGGTTCGTAGTCGGAGGCGCATTCGGAAAAGTCGTCCTCCGACTTGGTCTCGTTCATTTCCGGTTCGCTCTCCGATTCCGGCTGAACGATGCGCTTCCGCTTGCGCTGGCCAGTGACCGCCTCATCGTCGGAGCCTCCGGAAAGCGGCAGCTTTCTCTTTGCCGCTGGCTTGGCATCATCCTTGCCGGAATCCTTCTTGCTGGAATCCTTCTTGCTGGAATCCTTCTTGCTGGAATCCTTCTTGCCGGAGTCTCCGGAAAGCGGCAGCTTCCTCTTGGCTGCTGGCTTGGAGTCCTTCTTGCCGGAATCCTTTTTGCCGGAATCCTTTTTGCCGGAATCTTTCTTGCCGGAATCCTTCTTGCTGGAATCCTTCTTGCTGGAATCCTTCTTGCCGGAGTCTCCGGAAAGCGGCAGCTTTCTCTTGGCTGCTGGATTGGAATCCTTCTTGCCGGAATCCTTCTTGCCGGAATCCTTCTTACCGGAATCCTTTTTGCCGGAATCCTTCTTTCCGGAATCCTTCTTGCCGGAATCCTTCTTGCTAGAATCCTTCTTGCCGGAATCCTTCTTGCCGGAATCCTTGCCGGAATCCCTCTTGCTGGAATCCTTCTTGCCGGAATGCTGCACCCTTGGCTGCTGGTTCTTGAGATTTTCCTTTTCTGTGGTTGCCGGCTCGGTTTTTACGCTCGGTGTCAGTTTCTTTTTGTCGGTAGCCGGCGATTTGGCAAAATAATTAAACAAAGTGTTCTTTGGCGTACCGCCCACACTTGTGTTCAACTTTTTGGACATGATAGCGGCCTAGAAATGATTGCGAATTGCGCACAAAAGCCAGTGTTAAGACGCCGAGATTGTCCGCCAAAACCAAAACTCAGTATTCAGTATTCAGTATTCAGTATGCTCGCACTGTGACATAAGCTCCATTCCGTCGCGTAATGGACCCACTACGTTGCAGTGGATGAAAAATACCGAACACTTATGATTGGAGAATGTTTTTACGTTTTAGTGAACCTTTGTATTTCTGTTGAATCGTTTAAGTCGTTGAATTGTTTAAATTGTGTAACAGTTGTTGTGTAAATTGTTAATATACAAAAACAGCTGCTTCGCCTTCCACATTCAAAATTTAAAATCATGTTTCTATGTAATATGTACATTTTAGTATTTTAAAGATCCGCATGGTATATTTAAGCGGTCGATTAACGGTCGGTCTAATTCCAGTACCAATAAAATAAAACAAATTTCACGAGTTTTAGGAAATAAAATTAAAAAGAAACTATAATGTCGCTGGCAGACGAACTACTCGCAGATTTGGAGGAAGACAATGACAATGAGTTGGAGGAGGAAGATGCGGAGATGGCCAGTGCCGAGGACGAAAGCGTAAGACATAAAAACATGGTGCGAGCCTTGTAAAATAAGCAATTCCCTTTTTCCACAGCTCCTGGCGGAGAAGTTGGCCAAACCGGCCCCCAATCTGATGGACGTCGATGTCACCGTGCAATCGGTGCGGGAGCTTTGCAAGCTGCGCGATTCAGAGCGCCTAAGGAACACCCTACAGCAGATCGAGCACTACGCAAGCCGCCAGAGAACTGCAGCCGAAATGCTGGGATCCGTAGAGTCCGATCCCGAGTACTGCCTCATCGTGGACGCGAATGCCATAGCTGTGGACATCGACAACGAGATCTCCATCGTGCACAAGTTCACCAAGGAGAAGTACCAAAAGAGATTCCCCGAACTGGACTCCCTGATTGTGGGCGAGATTGAGTACTTGCTGGCGGTCAAGGAGCTGGGCAATGACTTGGACCAGGTTAAGAGCAACGAGAAGCTGCAAGCCATCCTCACACAGGCCACCATTATGATTGTGTCCGTCACCGCCTCCACCACTCAGGGGTAAGCTAGTTGCCATCTGAGTCCAAGAAAACCTCTAACAATATCCCCTTCCTTTCGATAGCACCATGCTAACGCCAGCGGAGAAGGCCAAGATCGATGAGGCCTGCGAAATGGCCATCGAGCTGAACAACTTCAAGTCTAAGATCTACGAGTATGTTGAGAGCCGCATGACCTTTATAGCCCCCAATCTTTCGATGATTGTCGGAGCTTCCACAGCTGCCAAACTCCTGGGCATTGCTGGCGGTCTCTCGAAACTGTCCAAAATGCCCGCCTGCAATGTTCAGGTCTTGGGCTCGCAGAAGAAAACCCTGTCGGGCTTCTCACAAACGCAGATGTTGCCACACACTGGCTACGTTTACTACTCCCAGATTGTCCAGGACACTGCTCCAGATCTGCGACGCAAGGCAGCTCGATTGGTGGCCGCCAAAGCGGTGCTGGCTGCTCGGGTGGATGCCTGCCATGAGAGTGTCCATGGGGAGATCGGCCTGCGCTTTAAGGAGGACGTAGAAAAAAAACTGGACAAACTGCAGGAACCACCACCGGTGAAGTTCATCAAGCCACTACCAAAGCCCATCGAGGGAAGCAAGAAGAAGAGAGGAGGCAAGCGCGTGCGTAAGATGAAGGAGCGATATGCGCTCACAGAGTTCCGCAAGCAGGCAAACCGCATGAATTTCGGAGATGTACGTTGGAAGCTTATACATAGAATGCTCATAAACTAATTGGTAACCTTCTCACTTTCCTTACAGATCGAAGAGGATGCCTACCAAGGAGATTTGGGTTACTCCCGCGGCACCATTGGCAAAACCGGCACCGGACGCATCCGTTTGCCCCAGGTGGATGAGAAGACCAAGGTGCGGATCAGCAAGACGCTGCACAAGAACCTGCAGAAGCAGCAAGTGTACGGCGGAAACACCACCGTGAAACGGCAAATCTCCGGAACAGCCTCCAGTGTGGCCTTTACGCCACTGCAAGGTCTGGAAATTGTAAATCCCCAAGCGGCGGAACGTTCCCAGACGGAAGCCAATGCCAAATACTTTTCAAACACCTCCGGATTCCTGTCAGTCGGGCATCGGACTACCTAAAGAAACTCCTTTCTCTTCATTTTCTATAAAATTAAGCACTTTTATTTGGAGATTTGTCGAATGTATAATGAATTAGGCGTAGTAAAGCTGCATCGAAGCTGCACAAGAGATTCAAATTGTTGTTAGCTGAGCTTGCCCACTTCCAATTTGCGCTGAATGGCCTCCCAGGAGTTGTTCAGCAGCACGGCCAGAATGCCGGCCACCGTGAAGACGCCTCCAATGATGGAACAGCAATTCGTGGCGAAGTGACCAAAGGAGCTGAGGATACAAAACGAATACAATAAAAATTGAAATTGCGGATACCATTTGCTTTACTGACTTGTGCTTCTCGGCATATTTCACCATCAGCGGCGACAGTTCGTAGCTGAAGAATATTCCCGGCATTCCTCGCTCCCGATCTGAAAGATCTTTCCGGTATCGCGTGACGGAGAATTGATTCGTGTATATGGGCTCCCCGTAATTACTTCCCCGCATATATACCGTGGGCACAATTTTTAAATAGTAATTGAACATTTCGCTTTTTGTTTCTGCAAATAAATAGTAATTAATTTAATAGGAATAAAAATCAGTGGAAAGGGGTTTCATTATAAAATCTGATTGTTGGGCTGTACTTTTATTGACTGAGAAATTTTTCAAATACTAATTGACCAATTTCTTATGATTTATTTATTTCTTTTCTACCTAAAACGTTAGAAGGATAATCAAAAATATTTGTTTGTTTGTTTTTGAATACATTTTCCTCAAAAGTGCGTTCCTTTTTTAATTAAGTTACTTTGCCGAAATGCACAAAATTAGTTTTTTCACATATACATTTAACAAATTTTAAGACCGAATCAGCTTTAAAAGAATATAATTAAATAGTACAAAATCCCTTTAACATTTGTGCGGTGGCTAACAGTAGCGAATACACCCACCACAAATTTCAGTGTGACCGATTAAAATACTTTATATTCGACATAGCTTATCGATAACTCCGGTAACGCTTTTTCACATCCCTAGCTTACTGACACATTCACATTGTTTTACGATTCGGTGCCGAAATAAATAGAAGTATTTCGAATATTTCCAAAAATAAACGGACCTTTGGGCACTACTTGCTATATTCATAAGTGAGCCGGAGCAGCGGAGCTTGCTACGCAGCGGGATCAACGTATATTTAGCAGAACGAGAGAAACCAAGGACTTTGCGGCATGCCACTGCCCACGAGCTCATTTTCCCAGCAGGGACCATCGTGCTTCGATAAGATGAAGACGGGCTTCATCATCGGATTCTGTGTGGGAATGGCCAGTGGAGCGGTCTTTGGGGGATTCTCGGCACTCAGGTGAGTTGGACTTTGCACCCGGCTGGTCTGCCTGCCACTTCTCCAATGGAGTGACGCAAGTGGAGGCCGGCAATTATGTAATTACACCGGCTAACTAATGAAACCAATAAAAATCTTCCACAGATACGGACTACGTGGACGGGAGCTGATCAACAATGTGGGCAAGACCATGGTCCAGGGAGGCGGAACCTTCGGGACCTTCATGGCCATCGGCACAGGGATTCGCTGCTGATCCTGCAGGCATTTGACTAGAGTTATTGAACACCAACCTTAAGCCCTACTCCAATCTTGTTTAAATTACGTTAAGTTATTGCAATAGAGATGTTAAAGAGATACGAGATGGGTTTGTTTGTTTACTACTCACCAGCGACATCCACTCGCAGTCCATCCAGAGGATGTGTCTTGGCGAACTCGATCTTCTCGCCAAAGGACAAGTGATTGATGGTGTGCGATAGCTTCACATTGCTGAACTGAAAGTCGTGGATGTGGAACTGGCGTATGGAGAAGCTCTTGCCGGGCGCAAAGTGGAAGCTGCCTGCCATGCGGTTCACCTCCAGGTGGCCCTGGATGCGGCAGCCCTCCTTGAAGGCGTCCTCATCGCTGCGCTTGTACTTGCCCTTGCATTGCTCGATTTTGTCCACTGCCACATTCCACTTGCGCAGCCGGTAGGCGTCCAGCACTTCTTCGCACGTGTTGCAGCAGCTAGATTGGATTGTTGATTGGGTTAAAAAGGGGAGTACAAGGGGCCGACACACTACACTAAAGCTAAGTCCTGATCTAGACTATTTTCATAACTGAGTTAAAAAGTTTTGACGAAGATATAACTTCATTATCATGGTTAATATATTCCACGTCACGTTAACTAAAAAAATGTTCTAATTTTGAGGTGTGCAAGTTACTAACAAAGAAAACATTACTAAAGCTTGTTAAATTCAAATGGACCTTCATTACATTTAAATAGAAAAAACAAACCAGAGTTTAGCAATAAATAATGCAAATTCGAGTAAACAAAGCTAAGCAACTAAAAATCAGAAAGCAGATGAGTTTAGCTTTAAAAGATTACTTATTTCATGTCTAGGTATTGAAGTTGGACTGAATCCAAAAGATTATACTTATTTTTACAAGGCAGCAGTTACAAGCAATGCTTTCTGATAATATTAATCGTAAAGAGGCAGAAACAGATCTTAAACTCCTTAGGTAAAGGAAAGTGATAGCTATACAAGTTGAATTAATGTAAGTTATTGATATCCGATCCGGATATATAGCTTACTGGGTGGCATTGTGCTCCGCTCCGTAGCAACTGCCGCAGGTCACGTTCTTATTGGGCGGCGAGACGGCCACAATTTCCTTGATGGGCGTCTCCTTGAGGGGCTCCCCCTTGAGATCCAGCCGGTGCTTGAAGACATCATGGTCCACCCTTAGGTGGGTGTCCCCCGAGGAGTCCATCGCGTCCAAGGAGATGTAGTTGCAGGCGAGATTGTGAAGCGTTACATCCAGGTTTATTCTCAACTTGTGACCCCTAGTTGTGTCGACGAACAGCTCCTCATTCAAGGTGGGCTGCATGTAGCTCAGGAACTCGAGGAATATCAGGATACTTATGGTGCTGGTGCTGATTATTGTAACTGAAATTCGGGAAAAGCCGGTTGTTTGGGTTGCTTATCGCCACAATCAGTTTCACCTGCACCCACCTGCGGCGCCGCCCACAGTGCGAACGCTGAAATCGTCCAAGGTGCGCGGATAGGCGTCCAGGCGACGCAGCACGTCGGCGAACTTCATATTACACAAATGACCCACAAAAAACAAGAACCGGAGACGTAAACAATAAAAATTACATACTTTTCGCAACGGCAGGTGACGTGTGCGATTGGCGTTGCCAGAAGTCTTCAATTGTTCAGCCAAACAGATGTTCCCTGCTGTTCGATGAGTGCGGTTAATAACTATCGTCATCGAAAATTATACATACATCGCCGACTTTACTTCTTATTGGTTTTACATGTTACATTATTTATAATTTTTAAATCTTCTACCTTAACTACTTCCCCGCGTTTTATTTTATACGTCTCTGAATTTCGTATTTATTAAATAAGATTATTGCAACAAAAAAATATTTTCACGCCCATTCGCTTCGCCGTTAGAAATTTACATATACCATCCATTTTACTCCACTTTACGAAAATCTACATTTCTATAAAAAAATCGTTTTACACAACCTTTTGCAAATTTACGTTAAAAAAAAAAATACATTTATAAAAAAGTAACAACTATCTAAGAATTAAACAACATAAATCACATTCAAAATAGGTTTAAACCCCCAAGGCAATTTTTTTAAAATTTTGGTTTTCTAATTTTGGGAAATTTAAAATGAAGTCAAGTCTCCGACCGCGCAGTACTCAGCAAAATAATACCTCATTTTCAAAAACTACGTACCTCCTGCAGCTTCCAAAAATTATCCGAGCTTACATAAAAGCTAATTAAATTTCGGATCATCCAACCTGTACCTTTTTTAACGTATATTTCCTTTAACGGAACATTGAAAAAATACATTCAACATCGATTCTTTGATTTATAAAGATGCACATTTTATAATGCATTTTTTTTAAACACACATTCTTTACCAAGTTATTGTATTTTTTAATAAAAATGCTAGGAATTGTTAATAAGTCAGTTTTCTTACCAATATGGAAAACAAATGGAATTTATATAAGGTTGTTTACAGATTTTAATTATATTTGTATAAGGGGTATAAAATAATTACAATGAAAATGTACAGCATTTGTTTTAATTTGTTTGAAGAAAGGCGTCATCTGATTCCTTGGTATTTTGTTCGTCTAATATGTTCGATTGAAATTTCACTGCAATTTATAGATTAGATTATAGATTTTAACAAAACATTTATCTGATGGTTCATTTTGTTTGCTTACCAGAAGGCCATATAAAAACAAGATAATTTAGTAATGATTTGGAAACAAAAGCGGAAAGTTTTTGCATTGGTCTGGAGAAATTGCACCTGACGACTAAAGCAACAACGGTGCTAACTCTAGAACAACTGTCCCTTAGTCATCAGGTGTAACTCATCCAGTTCAATGAAAAAGTCTCCGAGTACGCTCTCAAAACATTATTTGACATCAGTTAAAATTTGCTTAGGGGATTTTTTCTTCCATTTCGCAATGATCTATACTTGATCGTATCCAACAAGACTTGGTGTTTTGTAGTTGATCATCTTTATATAAACTGACGTTAAGATTTTTTGGGGTGTTCGTCATTTTATTATCTATGTTTTTAGTCCTTAAAGTGTTGAAGTTTTTTCAGGAGAAAACTCTTATTGTTTTTTCGGGTGCCCTGGCATGGCAAAAAAAGGGTCCGTGTGCTGTGTATCAGCATCGAATGTGAACTAAAGTTTTTTTTAAATAGGAAGCACACATTATTTTCAATTCCAATCTCATTCTGCATATTTACACATACATGCACATGTTTTCTGATTAAATATATTTGAAACTCGACGGAGCAAATAAAAAATAACGGAACACTTAAAGAAATCCATTCCTAATTTAAAAATGTCATACTTAAGTACCTATGCTTTTAACTATCTATTTTCGAAATTATAAATAGTAAGAAAAACAAGAAGAATAATGTATTTTACATTTAATATTTATTTATCTATTCCATAGGTTGGGTACTTTTAATAATTCAATCTTTGATTTTACATGCCATTTTTTTGTGTGTAATGGCTACGGTTTTTTATTTTCGACTTTAAGCTTGATAAAATAATGTCAACGAAAAAAGCGTGACCCATTTGTTTTTGGTTGTTTCTTATCAAGTCACTTATAGTTTGCACATTCCCTTCTGTAAATGTCGGAAGTTTTAAAGCCGATAGACAAACAAAAAAAAACCTATCGCTTTTTATATGAACTTTCGCAAAAAGATTGAAATCTTTTTATTTTTGAGTTTTATTAAATTTTTAACCTAAAAATATGTTTTACTTTAAGAGCAACATTTTCTTAAAAACTGCAGAGCTGGCAGAAAAAAAGTGCCTAAATATATGTATATATACAATGTAGGGCCGTGTAAGGCATAGTGACCAACTTTTAAGCATATTCCTGTAAAAGTTCAATGGTAAAATTCCAGCGAAGTTAAACACCACAGCTCTTGGCGTAAAGCAATATTTTTTTCACTTTTAAAAGTTTTAGGATGGTGACGAAGTGATAGTTACTAACTAAAACTCTATGCAGATGTACAAATTATTTCCTTTTTTTTTTAAAGTTGAAAATGTACAATAATGGAATACAAATTTAACTACACAAATTGAACAAATTAAGTTGTTGAACTTATAGTTCACAAAAATCACTAGAATTTGTTCGGAGTCTTGACGTGACGTCACATAACAGATTTGACGAGTTCGTCACCCTACCCTACACTTCCCTACTTCTCGAAATCAATCTAGCCAATGTTTTTTTTTCGAACTGTGATGCATTAAGTTCGACATCAGTTATATAAGTTCAATATCAAAAGTCGCGATAAATGTAAAACATTTTTTAATTTTCATTTCAAGTTTTGTTCATTATTCGAAAAAGATTACGCATACGTCGCGTTGGCTTGACGATAATAGAATCCATTATTCTGTATTAAGACATCAAAATCGAATTCGAAAAACTTATAGAATATTTATATATTTTAATTTTAAGTAAAATCCATTCAAAAAAATTTTATTTCTTGCTCTTCGTTTACAGGAGCCATTCCACCCATCGATTACGTATACGTCGCGTTGGCCCGGCGATAATTAAGGCCTTCGTCTAACCGCCCTTTCCGTTGGCCACGAATAATGTTTAATAGTGTTGTCATGTCTTGGGGCTGTGGTTGCGCATACATTAGGCAGGGCCAACTCACAATCGGCCCACCCTTAACCCACTGCTGCTGCTGTGGTCCAGGAGACCGCGTCTAATTTTATAATACATGTTAAACAGATGAAAGGTTAATTGAAAGGAACCACAAGTTTCGACAGCCCGCGCAGCAATGGCTTAGCTTTTAGGGGTTGTGACCTCCCAACCCCTTCTGAAGCAGGAATAATAGGAGACCGTGCTTTATCCCCGGGGATTTTGGTTAGAGCTAAAAGTTTTCGCTTAAATATAAATCACGAAATTGCTTGTCGCTTGACTGACTGAAGTTGAAACCCTAAGGTTGAGGTCCCTGAACCCAGAACCCATGCACGGTCACAAATAATTGTATGTAGGTGTGTAGAACATGCCGCGACTTTGTGTAATTACCAATTAAGCTCAAGTCCCCAAAGCTTTCTCATTTTCTTTGCCACTCTCTAGTTTCCTTTGTCATTCTTCTGCCGACTTGACCTTTTTTTGCAATTACCTGGACAAGAAATCTGTAAAATCAGGCAAGGCAGCAGATGACAAAGATTAGCTAGCGGTAATTTTACACTTTTTTACTTTCTAAATTGAAGTAAATGGATTGGGAAGGGTATGAAATAGAGCATGTGGCTTCAGGTATGGTAATATACATTGGAAACAGGAGGAAATTCAAGTTCTTACTGTTTTGACAGTACCAAAGTTTGTATAAATCCTTTTAAGATCTTTTTAAAAATAAAAATAAAAATTCAAAATTGTTAAACGAAAATAAGTATTTATTTTCTTGTTATCTTGTTATACTATTCGATTTTTCAAGACCACACGATAAGAAACATTGCGAACTTTAACCATAGTTTATAAAAATTGGTCTCAAGCATTGCTTAATTACCTATAGGTAATTTATATATAAATTCCAGATTTGAATTGTTTTGAAAACTCTCAGCTATACTTTATAAATTCTTTGAAATTGTGTCAAAAATTGTTTACCTCTATCTGGGTCATTTGTAGATTGCTTTTAAAAATACATGAAAAATATATTCCCAGGAACTTTTGGACTGACAAGTTCATAGCCCTTTTCCACGTACACCCTCTTATATTTGCCCAACTTATGGCCATAGGGCATTGGGGTTTTTGCCATGGCCATTTCCCTCGACCCCGCCCCTTAACCGCCCCTCTTATCTCCCGCTAATTTGCATTTCTAACCATTTCGCTCTAGCCAATTCGCGTCATTTCTTATTTGAAACAATGAGCTCAACAGCAGCCAGAACAAATAGCGGAGAAGGAGTCATTGTGCTACGGCTTTGCAGGCAATAAAAGACTCCGGAGACAAAAGAACCGGGCTGAAAGGAGAGAGAGCGTGTCAAGAAACTTAGGACCGGACGGAGAAAGAGAAGAAAGCCAGAAAAGAAGTTGGCGTAAAGCAGCTTAAACAATCAGGACTGCCTAATGGATATTGACACTTTAATGCCCTGGCCACCGACTCAGGCTCCGATTCTGATTTCGAGTCCGCACTGGCAAAAAGGCATGTTAGTCCTAATAAAACAACATTTAAACAATAAAATTAGAGTAAAATTCCAATGACACGTTGACCCATATTCGCAAAGTCCACCCATTAGTCATATTTATCGGAAGATCTTGGCTTTATTGGGAAATACGGAAATTAGGCTTTTAATAGCTATCGGTATACATAAATACTAAGGCCTATCTCTTTGAATATTAATTTCGATAAATATAACTCGATTCTACAAATTCATCACTTTTTTAAAATAATACAATAAAATTTTAGATTTAAAAGGTATTTAAAGCAGACTGAATAGTTTGGAAATGTAATATATTTTATGTAGACATTTTTAAAAGAGTCTCAATAATGTGAAGTTTTAATGTATGTAATATAAGCTACAAATATTTTATATAATCAATAGATAGAATATTTAAATAGGGAAACATTTCCAGTATGAAATTTGTTGATAAAGGATAAAATCTCCAATACAGTACTATTTTGATGATTTTTCTCTCTGTGTCAATTTCAAATTG